GCCACTCAGGGACATTCACAGAGTTGTCTATAAGCCACTCTTGCTGTGTGCTTAGGGTCATTGTCCTGTTGGAAGGTGAACCTTCTGCTCAGTCTGAGGTTCTGAATGCTCTGGACTGGGTTTTCATTAAGGCTATCTCTATATTTTGCTGCACTGAGCGTTCCTTCTACTCTGACGAGTCCCTCGGTCCCTACCGCTGAAAAACAGATGTGCGGCTTGACACAAACCTGTTTCTGAGCTCTACAGGCAGTTCTTTTGACCTCAGTGCTTGATTTTTGCTCTGATATGCATTATCAGCTGCTAGACCTTTTATTAAGACGTGTGTGGCTTTCCAAATCATGCCCATTCAATTGAATTTGCCACAGGTTAACTTCACTTGAAGTGTAGTAACATCTACAAGCAATATGAATGCTCCTGAGCTAAATTTCAACTGTCCCATATATGAATACTTGTGCAATAGAATCATTTTAGTTTTTTATTTTTAATAAATTTGCAAAGATGTTAAAAAACAGTTTTTTGCTTTACCATTATGGTGTATGGAGTGTAGATTGATGTGGAAAAAAGGTAATTTAAAGTAGTTTAACATAAGGCAGCAACATAACAAAACGTAAAACAAATGAAGGGGTATGAATACTTTCGAAGTTTGAAAGTCCTTGGTGTAGGTTATACAATGACATTATTAGCAGCTTTGTTTTAGTATTATTAATTTACTATTATAGTATGTATTATTTACACATATTAGTTTTTATTTTAGTTTTTCATCTAATATTTATAGTTTTATTTCAGTTAAATTACCAAAATTTAATAGTATTTAGTACTTTTTTTTAATATTAGTTAACAATAACAACATTGATTATTAGGCTGCAACAATGTTTTTTTCCGTTTTGTGTACACTCAGGGCCCTCGAAGGAGAAAGAGTTAAACCCAGGTACGATTTACCCTGTGCTTGGCAATTTGCTGTTCTTTCTGCCCCAACGCTACAGGGAGAAACTCTGCTGTGTTACCCCACTGGATGACAAGGTAACTCACTTAAATGCTCAGCTGAGCTTCACTCACGAATCAAAACCCAGTTTCAAATACAGCATTCCTTCTTCTATTATGAATGGTTATGTATGTCTGTGCCTATGCTATAGCCTAAAGTCATGGAACTTCAGCCTTACCAGATGGCCCAGAAAGAGAGCAATGGCGTTGCCTACACTAAAGAGGATGACGAGCTCAGGGAAGAGGAAGGAGAACAGAAAACCGCCCAGCCTACTTGTAACCTGGCCCATACGGTGCAGGAAACAGCCTTGTGAAATGTCCCACACAGCAACAGTCCTAAAGGGTCTTAGTTTCCCACAGGACGTCAGTTACGATGCCAAAACAGCGTGCAAATTCACAATCTCACTGTTTTCTCCTCTTGAATTTGGTAAGAATCTTGAGTCCATAAGTTGTGGTTTGTATTGTGGGCCCTTTGCAATATTACCCTTTGCACGCTGTGCCCTCAACTGCCAGTGATGGAGGCGAGGGTTGTCTCATTTATATGTGGTACTTTCTGATGTCAGTGGTCTATGTCATAAAAATTGTATTATGTTCTCTTGAATGATTTGAGATGTATTGAGCGATACAAGTGATCACCTAAACCTTTTAGTTTACATGACCTAAACTGAATCTCAAGAATACTTAGTTGAATATTGCTGGTTCGGGATATACGTACACGCACAAATCAAAAGAAATCATGCTGAACGTCAGGTTTATGGATAGTGTATCAGCAGAAAGAACTCAGTTTGCACAAATCTATAGTCGTATAATGTCAGTGCCGTTCGAGTTTTGGTTTTTTTTTCTCCCAAAGATTTTGTTTTGTCCAAAGTTCACTACATTAGCCTCACTACATTGTTCCCTAAACTGAGTTAAAGGTTTACAGTGAATGAAGAATTGCTAAGATTGCAAATGTAAATGTAGTAAACTTTTAGCTTGACATTCATGAAAAGACCATCTGACATGAAGAAGTCTCATGTTGTGATAGATACAGTGAATCTAATGCATGTTGAATCTCTAGTTCCCTCATTGAAGCCCATTGTTTGTGACAAGTGCCTCCTCATATGAATGTATGACGTAGTTTTGTGACTGGATCGTTACTTTAGTTTGCCGTTTCTTCGCCTAGCCCAAATGGTCCTGACCTTGATAGGACCATTTTTAAGGATCTGGACACCTCACTATTGAATTCCCATGATGCTTTGCATTGTAAGAGCCTGGCTAACTATACTTTAGCATCTCAGAAAAAGTTAAAAATTTGCCTGTATTAAATATTATTTTGGTATGGATGATTATTTACCAAACGGTCATGTTAGAAATGTTTTCATCATGTAGACAAGTTCTTTAAATGTTATAATAGCTTATTCAAATATTTGATCTTAGATATAGAAGTGAAGATATGTGTTATAGTATCAAGATTAACGGCACAGAATTGAAACCTTAAGTGTGTTACTGACCATAATTCTCAGTATTAGCATATGGATTGATTTGGTTGCACTTGTTTTCTTGTAATTTGATTCGTTTTTTGATGTTATAATGGCATTTTCTGTGCTTTGCTGTCTAGTCTAAATTCATACCTCAGTCTAAGCCATACCATTTTTAGTTGCTGTAGGATTCCTAGGTCCTTGTATTGTGCCTATGACTGGAATGAAAGCTTTCTCTGAACCTGTCACAATCTCACAAGCACAGGCAGTCGGATATATTTTCAGGTTATGCACTCTGGGTCAACAGTTTGTTGAAGTCTCTCATCCATTGGTGTTTTTTTTTTGGGGGGGGTTCATTATTGTGGGTGTATCATTTTGGTCTGGTGGCAGGTTTCAGTTTAACATTTGTCTCCAAAGAATCATCCTATTTAGAATCATGTTTGTCACGTGTGGAAACAGAAGTCTTCGGTTCACACAGAATGCATTTTTTGCATTCCACTGTGGTGTGTTTTTAAAATTATTTTCCAAAGTAAACGCACTGTTGCGCCACATCTCGTTGATTTTTCAGCATCCCACTTCATGAGCGATGCTTTTTTACAATTTTAAAATAAGTTAAAATACAAGCTTTAAAATAACGTTTAAAATTTTCGTGATTTTAAATGCAAGACTCGCTTTTATCGCTGCGCCACTTCTCACTCGTTCACTTCTCATTCAAATTGATTTTGTAATGCTCTTTTTGTTTTTAAGCCACTTTTTGTCCATCTGCACTTTTTTAGCATCTCACACAATGAACACTATATTTTTAGGACGCTACTTCATGTTAAACAAGCTTTTTAAATGGATCTCGATGCGCCTTCCTTTCCATTGCAATCGCTGTTTTTGAATACAAGTACACATCCTGTGTAAACGGCCCCAAGGGTTTTACTTTTAATTGAGTGATGATCACTCCACATTTCATATGAGCTTCATGCCTATATTGACAGCAATGAATTATGACATAAATTTTTTGCCTACCTAACAGTATTCGATTCAAAACTAGACCGGGAATAGTAACTTAGTTGCTGTGAAGCGTCTGCAATGGAGCAGATATGAGTTTAATGTTCAGTCATTCTTTAACATTCAGTGACATTATTTTTTTAATAATGAATCCAGTTCAATCTATTAGAATAATGTTTACATTCAGGTATGGAACTAAGGAGTTAGTTTGGATTTTAGTAACTTTAGTAACATTCCAATCAAAGGGTCCAACACAGATCATCTCTTTATTGTAAAATGTAAAGATAGCTTGATTTCTCATAAGTTCTGTCACTATATTCATTGTGTAAAATCTTTTTTTTTTTGTTCAATGTCAGATTGGATCGATTGCATGTAGAGTTGCATTCTGTCATACCTGAAATTACTTGAATTATGTGTGCAAAATGCTTTAAAACTCTATTTAAAACTTAATAGTACAGAGCACTTGCATTTACAGACTAAATATTGCATCTGAATTGTTCCACTGATCATTTATTTTTGTCCTAAGAATGTCTTAATTCAGAATGCATTTCCCCCTGTGAGCAATCAAAGGAGGAATAAATCACAAGCACATTTTAAAACTGCCTACAACAGGACAAATTGTTAAGGCACAGGCAGGGATCGACCTATTATAAACTATGCTGTCCTACAATCTAAAACTGTGTAACCCTAGAGAACCAACCTTGGGAGCCTATGTGGGGGAAAAAAAAAACTGAACTGTACTGTGATAATTGGTTTTTTATGGTATTTTTAAATACTCATTTTATATAAGCGCAACTCTCATAAGTGCAAAATAAATATTTCGATACATAATATTTGTTTATATAAATATTATGAGAATATTTATTTTTTATAGAAGTTTACCTATTTTATTTTCCCAAATATGCATTCCAGGAAACCATAAGCAATGGAGTCTGACCAGCTTCATTGCTTTGGTCGTGCCTTCACTTAGTGTCTCTTTATTTGATTGGTCACGAAAGTTCTTGCCAAGAACTTTCCATTATGTGAAAAAGAGGCAGTTGCATTGGCCAGCAGAGCATCTATAGCGATGATACCTTTATTTATGTAGATGAATGCAGAATAGAGGAACAGATATACTTAGCCACTCTAGTGGGCATTACTTTAAATCATGAACACTAATTTTTCCTCTTGATAAAATGTTTGTAATGAGAAAATGATATAAAATTTGTCATGATAACAATAAAAATGTCTTCCCGACTGTCTTTAGTAATTTGAGTCATTGCCACATACTATCATTATCATTCAATAACTGCACTTTAATAAAAGATTGACTATCATTTCATACAGTTTAACATTAGCATTATCATAATCAGTGAAATGTCTAAAGCAAGCTCCTGTCATTATATAATAATTTAAATTGCAATAAAACTAAGGCACATGCTACAAATATAAAATTGTGTTAATATATTCCTAGGATTAAACAGTGCTATTACCTAAAAATGAATGTAATACATTTGTTTATAATAGTTTTTGACACAGTAATGATTAGGATTAGCCATTTGTTGTTTTTTACTTCATGGTCATCTCTGTTTAGATGCATTTATCTATGCATCTAAACAGTGAGTTCCATTAGCCCATGAATATGAAAAAAAAGGACATAATTATTTATTTCTTCTTTCTCTTTTCCACAATCTTGACAAAGCTCTGAACATCCTCTGCCAGTAACTGTGGCTCCTCCATAGCAGCAAAATGCCCCCCACGAGCCATGGGAGTGTAAGTCTTGAGCTTATGGTATTTCTGTGTCACCCACGATTTAGGGGAGTGCATCAGCTCATTGGGGAAAGAGGCCACACCTGACGGAACATAAACTGGAAGCCTATTGGGTAAAAAGAGGCACAGCATACTAATGTAGCGATTTTGCATTGTAATTTGGGTTCGGTAAGAATTTATTTTTTTTTTACTCCAGATGTTAATGCATTCAATTGCATTGCATTAAATTTACAATATTACAGTTTCTAATTTATTGTTCATCAAATAAATGCATCCTTGATGAGTACAAAATAACTTCTTTCAAAATACATCAAAATGATTTTCCAATCCCAGACAGTAGTGCACATATTTACACATAGCCCCAATTTCTGTGCCCAAATGTCTCTAAATACTTAAGGGAACACAATACTGATGAGTATTAAACAGAAAATACAGCTTCACGTAATGTTAATCAAAGCCTGTATTTCTCTTACTTTGCATGGGGCTGATTCAGGCCTTTGCTGAAGTTCTCCTTGTAGAAACGCATGGAGGATATAATGGACTTAGAGGTCCAGTAGATCATCACATTCGTCAGAAGATCATCAAGAGAAAACTTCCTGTTGGGGAATCAACATGATTTAACTGAACACACACTTCACCAACCTATAATAAAGCTGAAATCAAATATGACTACCTTTCCAGTCCACCATCCTCAAGGTTCTTGAATTCAGGATCAGTCCAGGTTGAAAATTTCTCCAAAATGTAGGCAGCCAAACCAACGGGAGAGTCATTCAATCCACGGCCTGTGCAATACAGTCAAGCTTCAAATCAAAGTCTGTTGTCTATTTAAAGATGCACACGTCACTCACCTGCAGTGTCAGGTTTAGTGGACTGTATGTGCATGTATCCAGTCTCCCTTATTGCGTCAACTACAAGCTTTTCCATAGTGGGGAAAAGGCGTTTCACATCATGCTCGGTGAAGCCAAAGAGTTTGGGAAATCGGCGACCAAAAAGTATAGACAACATCATGAGAAGGCCTGCTTTTCCTGGAGGAGCAAAGTTAATGTGGAGGCCTTTCACAGCACTGAGGAAAACAAAGATGTAAAACAAAAATCCTTAAAATCTCTCAAGTACTTGAAATCTGTTTATTTCTATACACAATATCTTCCTTTAATATAGCTGACTTTAATTTACTTCCATCTGAGGATTTCAATGTGATGAAATACTAGAATACAGTGGTTCTCAACCAGGGGGCCCAATAACTCTTAAAATTATTTAAATATAGTTATTTTAAACAAATATTTTTTTTTAATAATTTTACAATTCTTAAAAACAAACAAAACCAAATAAATAAATAAAAATGTATAACATTAATATTTTTGAGTTCATTTATTTTTTATTAAATTTGGGCTGGGCGATATATCAAAAATATCTTATCGATAATCGCCTTTAAAAGATCGCGATCTCCGATAATATCGTCTACTTAAGCCCCACCTCCACCACGCCCCGCCGAGACAACATTGACGACATGCACAATAAACACACACCATGTTCAGTTTGGTCTTAATTAGTTAATTAAGAGGCAGCTTTTGTGTGTGCGCTTTGTGTGTGTGCGCGTGCAGCACAGAAAACAGCGCGCGAGTGCAGAAGTGAGTTCTATTTCGTCTTCTTGCAGTTGAATCTTTTGAAATCACAATAAATGTGCATACAGAAATCGAGAAGCAGAATCGAAATGTAATTTTATAACAAGTAATTTGATTCCTGACCTTACGCATCTGATCTGATTTCCGAAATTGGAATAGCTTTTCGATTCCCAACCCTCCGACTAAATTATTTCATTCTTGCATGCAAAAAGACCTGTATGGTGACTATGGGGCTATGTAAAATATTTTTTGCAACTTACTAGGTTTATCATTTGTCATTTTTTTCCAATAATGTCGATAATCGTCTGTTACCTAACTGTTGACATCGACATCGGAATAGGCTACTTACGAGACATCATCTATATACGATAATATCGTCATATCACCCAGCCCTATATTAAGTACCAAAGGTAAATATCAGCTTTAAAAGGGTCTTCAAATCTTTAGTGCATTCAAGTCATGTTGAAAAGATTGAACCCACATGAACACCACCGGAGTGTCGTAACTTTCTTTAAGCCCAGAGTTTCCGAGTAGGGGGCATGTCAGTGAGAAAATATGTGGAACGCAATAGATGCAGCAACTGTATTGATGGGAAATTGGTTGAAATTAATGCATTTGTTTTCTATTATATTTACAATCAAATGATCTAATACTCACATTCAAAATACTTTGGTATTACGCAATTATAGCTTCATAAATTGAATAAAAACATAAATCAAAAATCATTCCTTATTCATCATTTTGTAGAATTAGAGTTAATTTTTTTTAATTTATAGAAAATTTTTTTTTTTTTTGTAGTAGGGGGCATGTCAGTGAGAAAATATGTGGAACGCAATAGATGCAGCAACTGTATTGATGGGAAATTGGTTGAAATTAATGCATTTGTTTTCTATTATATTTACAATCAAATGATCTAATACTCACATTCAAAATACTTTGGTATTACGCAATTATAGCTTCATAAATTGAATAAAAACATAAATCAAAAACAAACCAGCTGTGCATTCCTTATTCATCATTTTGTAGAATTAGAGTTAATTTTTTTTAATTTATCGAAATTTTTTTTTTTTTTGTAGAAAAGCTACAATGCCATTTTGCTCCAAACTGAATGCATCTAATATTGTAATTACATCCCAACTTGTAAACATGAACTTCCCAGGGGGACTTAAATGTTTTGGATAAAGTGGGGCCTTGGAGTAAAAAAGGTCAAGAACCACTACTTTTATACATACTTGGGCTCCAGCTGGGCCATATTAGTGGTAATAAGCGAGCCCCAGTCTCCCCCCTGGACATAGTACTGGTTGAAACCAAGCCTCTTCATCAGTTTATTGAATATGTGTGCTGCACATACACCGTCAAAACCTGTGCAAAACACATTTTGATCATTAAATAAAATGCAAAACATGGAAAATATTTAATAGACTAATCCACGTGTTTGAAACAAAATATCTGTTAGGTTGGGTTGTTTGCCCTTTACCTTTTTTATGTGGGGCCTCTGAGAAACCATAACCAGGTATTGAGGGACAAATGATTTCGAAAGTAATGTCATCAGGACTGGATGGCTCCGTAAGCAGGGGGATGATACCATAAAACTCATAGAAGGAGCCTGGCCATCCATGTACCATCATCAGAGGCACAGCACGGGTTCCCTCAGCCAGGCTCTTTGGTTTCACGTGAACATAGTGAATATCAATACCTTTTGTTATGGAGAACACCACAACACAAAACAAAAATGAAATCAGTTGTGGAGTACTATAAAATATGTGCAAAACATAAGCATCTTCTTGCAAAAAATGTAGTTCTTAAAGGAACAGTTCACCCAAAAATAAACATTTGCTGAAAATTGACTCAACCTCAGATCATCCAAGATGTAGATTCGTTTGTTTCTTCATCAGATTTGGTGAAATTTAGCACTACATCATTTGCTCACCAATGGATCCTCTGCAGTGAATGGGTGCCGTCAGAATGAGAGTTCAAACAGCTGATAAAAACATCACAATAATCCACATGACTCCAGTTGATCAATTAATGTCTTGAAGCAAAAAGCTTTGTTTGTAAGAAGCAAATTTTTCAAGATGTTTTTTAACTTCAAGTGTAACGGTGGCCAGCTGGTAAGAGCTGTGCAGGTAAACCTCACTCCCCTGATCTCAAGAGGCGCACTAGTGACTGATGCTAGAGGCTGCGGTCTTTAGCATCCTTGTTAGTGCACACACCTTTCATGCCGGTGACCCAGGTTTGAGTTCTGCTCGGAGCGGGGCGGTTGGGACCGGAGGTGTTACATTGGCACCATGACCTAGATGGGAGTGAGTTTAGGGGGGTGAGTGTAATGGAGGCCAACTGGTAAGTGCTGTGCAAGTAAACCTCACTGGATGGTTTAAAGTTAAAAAAATCAAAACAGCTTTTCACAAGATGTTAATTGATGGACTGGAGTTGTGTGGATTACTTGATTATTGTGATGTTTTTATCAGCTCTTTGAACTTTCATTCTGACGGCACCCATTCACTGCAGATGATCCATTTATAAACGTGATGTAATGCCGAATAGCTCCAAAACATCAATGCATTTACCATTGCTCTGCGAAATTTTGAATGATCTACATGAAATCTGGATTAAGTTTTGCATACTTTTTTGTTCATGCAGAATTTTTGCTGAAATTTCGTTAATGTGACCACACCTTTACTATAGCTGTGTACTAGTCAGGGCTCACCTTCGATTTTGGTTTTGAAATGAGGGTATTTGTTCAGTTTATCCACTTGTTTTCTCCAGTTAAAATCATTCCTCCAATAAGACACAACCTTCTCAAGGTATTTGGAGTTGAAGCCATAGTTAAACTGACTGTCTTCAAGAGAAGGAAAGGAGCGGGTCTGATCTAGCCTGCGGTGTAGATCCTAAGGATTATAAAGGAGATTTTGCTACAGACAAAATACACACCAAATGTATTTCCAGTGAAACATCTATATGAAATTTTATATCAGGATTTACCTCAATCTCTTCTGAAGTTGTCTCAACTTTGAAAGGGCGGATACTATCATCCTCGGGTCCTTGGTGACAAGCTCCCACACCCCACCACCCATCATGTGCTTTCAGGACACTCTTTCTTTTCTTCAGGAATACCAGGGCTACCACCGTTCCGAGCCCCAATGCCAGTGCCAACTCTTTGTACATGATTTAGGGCCCTGGAATGAAGCAAATACAATTTGTATCTCCTTGGAGTAAGCTGGAGTGTCTTGCTCAAGGTAGAAATGACGATAGTTAGCTCATGGATCACCCCTTGCAGAGTTTGAACCTTTTATACAACCACTAGGCAGTGTGCTTCTAATGCATGCATGCAGGAAAATGGAGCAAAGGTTTATTGTTGCACAACATTCCCAGCACTGAGATTAGGATGGACAAAGCTCTGTGGTTACAACATTTGGGGCACAATGCATGACAAAGCTCTTCTCTGTCTAACTCCCAACGCACACTAAATACCCTGTAAACAGGAATGTCAGAATGTGGGCTGTTCTTTTAATTATGTATTATTCACAAAAATATGATAACCTCATCTGACATATTACTTTTTCTGCACAAACAAATTACATAAATAGTTTTTTAAATATCTGAATAATTATTTTAATCTAAGAGGCGTAATGATTTTAGTGGAATTCTAGTAAGAGACTAATAAGAAACTCTTTTTCAGTCTTTTTCTTCAAAGAAAGAATGAGCCACCAAATAGCTAAAATAACATGCACAGAAGTTACTTCTTAATTGCATTTACCTTAATAAACTTATTGAACAAGGATGTTGTTGCATAACCAGTGATTTGATCATCATAATTACACGTGTACAGATCGTGCTATAGCAAGACGCTAACCGATTGATATGCGGTTGCTTTAGATTAATCTTAATGAACGAACTAGCTTAATTTTGCAAAAACGTCATGATTAAAAACATCAGACATGAAGCACACTCACCTCAATAAGTAGCAAAGAAAGCTGCGATCGTTTAGCACCAAGACGCAAACATTATCCCCGTGCACCATGGGAAATGTAGTCACATTATAATCTGCGCACGCTCCCCTTTACTGTGGAAAACGGATACATTTCTGTAATTCTGTTATGTAAAATTAGTTACTTCTTTCAGATAATAGTCGTGGTTTTATTGTAGTACAAAATAAATACACACCAAACAAACTTTTGATTGTAATTAGGTAATGACCTTTTGCAATAAAACGTTCTAGAAATAAAAACATTAAAAATGTAACCAAAAGAAAACGTAATTGCACCATGGTAATTTGTGATATTATTTTGGCTTTGTGTATGGTAGAAACTGAATGGACGCACGAGACAAATTTTACCCGTTATTACAGCTGACAGGAGCAGCGCGCTCTCAGAAGCATATTGCCAAATATTGAAATAAACAGAACAATTGATGATAATTGCTTTACAAATTATCTTTAAAGACACTCATTATTTGTCTGTAGACAGTAATGCTTGTAGAATAAAATGAAATAAGAAAAAAAAAAGAGACATTTATTTTGGTTCATTGTACATCATGCATAGATATACAAACTTCAGGACTGGGATTTTATTGTAATCTAAGAAATGAAGAAGGTCCTGCTTCAAAATGTGTTCTCCTGATGTTGTCGCAGTTAAAACGTACTTTCTCCAAACATTAAATAATAGGCAGACCAAATGAAAACAGCTGTATAATCATTAAGACATCGTCCGACCTCCAAACAGGAACACAAAAATCAGCCACTTTTAGGATGTTCTCGCTGCTTGCTCTCCAAACGAGACTGTATTCTCAGTATACAGTCAATAAACATCACCCAAACTTCATCTCCATCCTCCTGTAGATCCATCTCTTTTCATTGTCAGTCGGATTGAGTTACAAACAACTGTCCAATCCCGACAGGTCCTTTGATTCATTCAGTCCGTTTCCATGGCTCCACTGTGGGACTCTTTGGAGACCATTAATCTCATCAACTTCCCATGCAGTTTCTCGATCTTCTTTACATCTTGGGCCTGGTCGGTTTTGTACTGCAAACACTGAAAGAAAACATATAGTTAATATAATAACATGATCTACACAAGACCACAAACAAAATAGTCTATTTGCAAGAGCTCAAAACTTACCACAGCATCATCTGTGACTTTCATACAGATATTTCCATCACAGTGTCGATATTTCAGAACCACTCTGACCTGAATAAACAACATTAACAAACAGTTACGATACATTAGTACATTTGAAGCTTTAATACTGCAGCCTTTCTCTGCCTGACAGTTGCATTTAGACGCATATATACATATTATATATTTTACGCACCGACGACATATCGAATTTGCTCTACAACACATTTCCACAACTTTATTAAGTTGTGGAAATGCTGTTTGATTGTAAAATATGTGAACATGAGCTGTGCTTGTAGCCAGTAGCCTCAAAATAACCTCAGATAAGAGGTTATCAGTTACCTTCATCGGGTCCGTCAAATAAAGTTTTTCTGCAGCTCGCGCAAACTCTTCCCACGTCTGATAATAAGGCATGGTGTAATAAACACTAAATAAAGGGTATCTTATTAAATATTTTAACAGCGTAGCAAAATACAGCTGTTTGAAGCAAAACCCAGGTGGCAAAAAATATGGCCACCTTCAGTCGTAGAAAAACGCACTCTGATTGGTAGGCGGCTGAACGGACCAATAGAAAACGTGCACACTGATACGTGTCGGATTTGAGGATCGTGATTGGTTCATAGGAATAGAATGCGCTTGTGGAATGACCAGCGTGAAAAGGGTAGAAAGACGGGCGGAGCTTAATGGCTTCGTTGTCACGTGGTAGTGATGCAAAGTCCGATTCTTTTCCGCGAACCGGTTCTTGTCGGAGAGTTCGGCTCATTGAATCGGTTCAAAAAGCCGATTCATCAGTTCCTGGCGTCATCAAGCAATGATATCACTACGCATTTCTTTTCTAACAACTCAGTGCCATGTTGTATCAATGAAACATTCAAATAAAGTCATTTGTGTCAACACATATTGAAACATTTAAATAAAAAGTTATTTGTGTGAATGCACATAGCTGATATCGCCTTTCATTCACTTAAGTTAAATGGTGTCAGTGGTCACAGTTTCATTCACGGATCCGTTATGTCCGATACGACTAACCTACAACTTAGATAAGATTCCTAAAAGTTTCGCACCTACAGCACACATTACAGACACTGATGCACAAACGCGGATATGTTCTACATGTCTAAAGTATAAAGAAAGAATGAACCTGTCTTATAAACTCCTTGATTTCGCTTAAACAACTTAAAATATGATCTGCATGCAAAATAAACCGTGCTAAAATTCAGGTTTTTCCATGTTTTAATAAAAATCCAGGGCTTTTTAATAAAACGATTCATAAGCATATCTCCAGTAGCCTATGTTTTGTTTGTTATGAAGAAACTTTACGTATCAGGCTCGTTCAAGTTCTCGGTGATACACACACAGTGCAACTCACTCGTCAGAAGCCTCGGCAATCCTCGGCAAACTTCGACAGTTGGTTGAACCGGATTCGGTTCTTTTTGAGTCGGACGTGCTACTTCGGCTGTGCGTCCTGCGTCATCAACCCGGAACTAAAGTTCGATTCAGTTCGATTTTGTGAACCGGCTCAACCGGTTACTTCCTGAGAACCGGTTCAAAAGAACGATTCGTTCAAGAATCGAACATCACTATCACGTGATACTTGTTTCATTTCGCAGCGCTGGTCTGGTTGGATCAATCATAGTATTTGTGATGACTGTATTTAAAATCATTTTTATAGTAATTGTTAAATCGGAGTTCAGTAGTTATGTTAGTTACATGTCCCTTAGAATAACAGATAAACTATTAAAACACGTGGTAGTTACAAATGCATCCAGTTAGACTCAAAACGTCCTGTGATTTGAATGCGGCTCAAAAGATGATTTTCGGGTGCTTTTTGAGCCACATGCGCCCCCTGCTGGTACACAACTTTCTCTCGTCCTATCCAAGTACTAGCTACAAACTTTCCGGTAAACGGCCGGTGAGAGACTGCTATACTGATGTATATTTTAAAGAGAGTCCTAGAGGAATATATTAGAACTGTTATACATTATATAATATTTATCTATGAAACTGAGCGTAGTTGTCTTGCAATATGTAAGCAAATTGTTAATGGTTGTTAATGTGTTCTTTTTTAGAACTTACTTGAAACGACTCGTGAGTTCAAAGAGATGTACATTGCGCGTAGAATGCATAACTTAAACACTGTATTAGCCACTAAATATGGTCTAAAAAGCAATGACATGACTGTGATGCAGTTGTGGGACGGATAAAACTATACAGGGGTCCTGGGACTAAAGCACGAGAAGGTTTTGTTCAAATATGCATGTGTACTAAACTGTATAAGAGCGCACCAGTAGATGGCAGTGTAGACTTTTCCAAAGTTGCATTTTACACAAAATTTGAAATTGTATTCCAAGTGATATCCCTTTCATTTTTCCTTCAGTCATATACCCAAGCCACATATACAGTGGGTATAGAAAAGAACAACGCCCCTTTAAAATAATCACATTTTGCTGCTTAGCAGCATGAAATGAAGACGGACACGGTTTTTGTTTTATACAGCTGTATTTACTCAGTGCAACTTAATAACATCCAAATGAAAGATATAACACCAACATGCCAAAAAAGAAAAAGAAAGAAAAGAAAAGCAGAATCACTGAGTTGGAAAAAGGATCACCCCCTTGTGTCAGTATTTTGTTGAACCACCTTTTGCTTTAATTACAGCCTTTAGTCTGTTGGGATATGTCTCTACTAACTTTGCACATCTAGACTTTGCAATATTTGCCCACTCTTCTTTGCAGAACTGCTCAAGTTCAGTTAAATTTGATGGTGACCGTTTGTGACGGTATTTTGCCCCATCCATTTTTTCTTCTATCCTGACAAGTGGCAAAGCTCAGTCGTGACTGCATGTGGCCTTTCTTGAGGAGTGGCTTTTTTCTTGTACCCCTCCCATACAAGCCACATTTGTGGAGAATTTGTGATGTTGTCACACAATGACCACTCTTTGTCACGAATTCCTGCAACTGATTCAGAGTTGCTGTAGGCCTCTTGGTAGACTCTCTGACCAGTTTCCTCCTGGCTCTTTCATCAAGTTTGGAGCGACGTCCTGATCCAGGGAGGGTCTGTGTTGTACCAAACGCCTTCCACTTCTTAATAATAGGCTTCACTCTGCTTCTAGGCATTGATAAAGCCTTTCAATTTTTTTTATCCATTGAGAAGGTGATCAGTGATTCTGTTTTTTTTCTTTCTTTTTTTTTCTGACATGCTGGTGTTATATGTTTCACTTGGATGTTATAAGTTGCACTGAGTAAATACAGCTGCTGCATTTATATACATATTGGATAAAAGAAAAACTGTGTCCATCTTCATTTCATGCTGCAAAGCAACAAAATTTGATTATTTTAAAGGGGGTAATTCTTTTCTATACCCACTGTATATACCCATATAAATACCACAGTTCAGAATCGGAGATGCATGAGTGACAGTTGATCTAGTAACTGAGATGTGGGGGTTTAACCCTGCTTAAGCCACACGGTTTGAACAATTGTGATGAACCATCATATCCCTTACTGCCATCAAAGCAAGCACACCATTGGTTCTTTTTATGAACAGGTGACACTACACAGATCGTAGTCAAATGACATACACTTGCCAAGCATCTTAATATGGTGATAAGGCTTGAATGAATATTATCAAATGCGCTATCAAATATAGTCTTTTATTATTATTTATTATTTTTATTTTAGCTGGGAAAACTATGCACTGGCATTTATAATGCTGTATGTTTGACTTCTCATTTGCGTAAATTAATTTATTAATTTCCGTTTTACTTACCAAGAATTTGTGTGCTCTTATACAAATATTACATATCTGTCTAAGTACTGTCAAACTACCATATGGGGGCGTGACCTGTGCGTCTCTTGCGTGGTGACGTAGCTCAGTAAAGCGTTGCGTCGCTGCTGCGGCTGTAGATGGGGATCCCAGCGGCACGTTGCTGCTGTTAGAAGATCAGGCGCTTGCAAGACCAAACAGAAAATTGCGTTCTCACTTACATTTTTTTTGTGCTGCAGCATCCACATAAGCGGTGCAATGCGGTAGATCATGTAGACCGAGTTCTTTTTTTATTTACTTTCTTTTTTATTTAGTTTTTTACTTTGCGGGATACAAACTCGCTCTGGTCTTGCGGCGTTTCATTCATATCTTTTGTGGTCAAGTGCGAACTTTGTGAACTCTCTGAAATTATATAACGTCGAACATATATCGTGGAAATCACCATGAGGTAAGAAAAATCTAGTTTAATCTTAACCCACAGGTATTTAAGATTTATATATATATATAGAGAGAGAGAGAGAGAGA